CATTCAACAATGCATCTCTCCCCTTCAAAACTTTGTAAATACCAGGGACAGTGCGATCTAAGTTGGAAGAACTTGTCTCCCAATCCCGTTCACTCTTTGTGAATAAATGTTTAAAATAATAATCGTGACTAATCTCAGAGCACGTATCTGTGTACGTGTATGTGTATGCTTGTGCCTACGTAGGTGTGTGAGTGTGCTTGTGCCTACGTGTGTGTGGTTGTGTGCCCGTGCCTTCGTGTGTGTGTGTGCTTGTGCCTACGTGTGTGCGTGTGTATGTGTCTGTGTTTGCTTGTGCCTACGTGGGCGTGTGTGTCTGTGTGCGCTTGTGCCTACGTGTCTGTGTGTGCTTGTACCTACGCGTGTGTGTGCTTGTGCCTACGCATGTGCCTATGTGCTTGAGCCTACGTGTACGTGCGCATGCGCGCGCATGTGTGAACAACACAGAATACAGGGTTACTTACGGGAATAACAAAATTCTATTCCTATTAACATTATTTGGGCTTTATTCATATTACAGTAAACTACGTTTATAACGAACACGCTTATACCGAACTGACGGATGTAACGAACTGTTTGAGGGTCTCATCCATTTGCTGTATATGTGCCTATAACGAACAACGGTTATAACTAACTAAAATTAGTGGTCCCTTTTAGTTCGTTATAACCGTAGTTTACGGTTTTCTCATTGTGAACTAACGGCACAGTGCCAAGACATACATATCATATTGTGAACTGGGGCTCCAAGTTACAGTTGCAGGTAACACTTGCAGTCTTCAAGCTACTCACTGGCCTGGCCACTTGATTAGTACAGGTGTGTCATATGCAATACAGACCAAACAGGATGACACCACTTAGAGAATGCCAATTTAAATTGTCAAAATTAAATATTGAATGACAATTGTTACATTGAAAAATATCTCGGTTAGTGAAAGAAGCCAATCTGAGTACAGAAACAGCCCAAGATCACTTTTAAAATAAAATATACTGAACAACAAAAGTTCCTGTGACATTGAATAAGATTTAATGCAAAGTGATGTTTTTTACCAAATCTGAAACGATTCCGGTTTGCAACAGATAAAAGACTCCTGTAAGTGTTCAAATGGTTTAATTTGCCATGCTGACTTCGGAAAATGCGTGATATCATAAAAAAACATAAACATGCTGAAATGTCAATTTACAAATCAATAGCGTGTGTGTCCACCTCTGGTTGCGATGCAAGCAACACATCTTCGTCTCATGGAATGGACCAGGCGTCGCACAAACCCTGTGGGATATCTGTCCATATCTGCTGGAGCATGTTTCGAAGTTCCTGGAGTGTCTGTGGAACACGTGGTTGACGTCGAAGGCGACGATCCATCTCATCCCACATGTGCTCGATTGGTGAGAGATCAGGGGAGCGAGCCGGCCAGGGGATGACATTCACGTTGTTTTGTTGAAGAGAATCCTGAACAAGTCGAGCAATATGAGGCCGGGTGTTGTCATATAGCAAAAACGGTAGAACAACAGGGCCGATCATCTCGTCACGGTAGCGCTGTCCATTGAGATTTCCCTCTACCACCATCAAACGAGTCCTCTGTCTTGCTGTAATCCCAATCCATACATGAACGATGCCGCCCCCGAACCGATCTTCTTCCATGACACAATGATTGACGTAACGTTCACCTCGACGTCGGTACACTCGAATCCGTCCATCGCTGTGGCTGAGGTGAAAACGAGACTCGTCAGTGAATAGAACTTATCCCCACTGCATGGCCGTCCAGCGTAGACGCTGCCTGCACCACTGTAGGCGTGCTTGACGTTGGTTTCCTGTCAAAATGGGACGTCTGGCGGGTCTTCTGGCGACAATGCCTGCACATCTGAGGCGGCGACGTACGGTTTGTGAAGATATTCGTCGAAGGCCAAGGATGCTTCTTGCAGTCACTGTTGCTGGCTGGAATCGCTTTCGTAGGTGTGTTGTTCGAATCCAGCTGTCTTGTCGATTATTGGTTACGCGCGGCCTGCCACTCCGAGGATGGTCTCTGACTGCATTGGTCTGTTGCCAACGTTGCCATAAACACCAAATGGTGTTTCTGTGGACGTTAAATTGTCTTGCAACATCACGTTGACTCGATCCTGCTTCAAGCATACCAATGGCTCACAGACGCTCATTTTGGGACAGGCGTGGCATTTCGTAATGTTGAATAATTGCGCAATTTTGTTGTTTTTCTGAGTGGTTGTTGTCAGCACGATGCTAAACAATGCATACGGAATCCCGTTAACGCACATGTTTTTATACCCATTCTTGAGTAGTGAAATGCATGGGGCTTGCATAAAAGTCAACTTTTGCATGGAATGCATGCTTTTCTGTAGCAGTTGCGTTTTTATAACTTCATTCCATACATGTACTACAATATTGAAAACCAAACTTTACTTGTTTGAAAAATACACTAAAATATTGGTGTCACAGGAACTTTTGTTGTCGAGTATACGTAAAATAAATAAGTTGTATTAGCATAATAAACATGAAACAAATATGTATTTGAAGAGACGAACCGGTGAGAATGTTCAATACCATCAAAGTGTTCACTATAACGTAATTGTTGTTTGAAGTGAATTTGCCATCATTTTTTTAAATCACTGATGAATGTATGTATGTCTGTGGGGAGGGGATAAACAGTGGATAACAGCAGTCTGTAACCTGCAGCACACGAGCCCGAACACCCCAAAAGACAGTGGTATACCACAGCTTACTGCCTGTATATCACTGTTGTTTCTATACAGAAAGTACGGGAAGCGCAACAAAGTGTGGTGTCAGCATATTTGTTGCATGTCAGGTTCTTCCATATATGATGCTTATCTCTTTACATGTGCGCAGAATCGTACTCCGGTAGGAGTCTCGCGTTTATCGATAACTCTTTACGGACTCAGCCGAGAAAAGCTGAGTGATAGCGTAACCCACAGGAAGAGGAAATCGATTACAGGCATGTGTAGCTAACCTTAGTCACTGAAACTGTTTTCCATAGCACACACTATTCCGGAGCCGTTAGTTGCGGTTAGTTTCGCGGTAAACTGTTTTAGCTGTTTGACGAAGGGATGAATACGAATAAGGACTGCCAACTGACCCGTGAAATGTCCTCAAGAGGTCAAGGTTGCGACTTCTTGCAAGCTTTTCTAATATAATCGACCATGATATGTTAAAACAAGTATTTATAATACAAGTTTGATCAATTCTCGACTTAACACAAGGATTCAATGTATAAGATATATACTATAAATATAAGATGTTTACCTGTTTTGTGTTGATAAGTTCATTAATTTTTGTAATGTATTTAAAATTCTGTCCGTTGGCAAGTCGGTCAGTTTGTTGCAGTCAGTCGTAATACAGAATGGACTCACACTTTACACACGAACATGTGAGCTAATGAGTATATAACACTTTGGTGAGACCCACGAACACGGGTGTCAGGTTGAATACTTTAGACGTGAGATTCAAGGTCGGCCATTTTAATTAGGACATTGATTATTTGTTTTATAACCATTATATTTCAATAGCTGTTGTTTATATTATGGACTCAAAGGACCATGTTAAGCTTCATAAAAAAAACGGAATTTCAGTCTACCACAGTTTTAGATACTGCAAACCAAAACTCGGTGAACCCACAATATTTATTATTTGTCCATGACACTCTGGGGATACGTCATACCACATGCCATAAAACATAGCAAGCCGACGCACGCTGAATTTGCAATTAAAAAAGGAAATACTAAAAAATATTTGAACGACACAATTTTACAAAAAGAAATAGTAAATAATAATTGAACGAAACAATTTCAAAGAACAAATAATCAAGTTTTTGTTGCGCTGGGTAACTGTTTAATTGGCGATTTTTTAGACTATTGGCCTGATAAGTGAAATACACATTCTAGAAAGAGGATATCGTGCTAATTTACCAAATAACTATGTAATTGGACATTGTAACCTGCTATCTTGATAGCTTCACTTGCGTGTGTATAATAAATACTTACACTAATTTCGAAAACAATTTTGATTTCCATTCAGATAATATTATTTAAGATTTACAACTTATTTATGTCGTGAATAATCTTACATTTATGGTGCCACTATTAGCTCAGTGGAATTGCATACATCAAGACATGTTACGACGACATAGGGGAATCCCCTCTTTGAGGCATACTAAGCATGTATATATTTGGCAGTTAATACATAGGTGATGGAACGTTCTACATGGAAACGTATTACAATACTAACCGTTATTTGGTGATAATAATACGACTATCAAATTCAAATCTTTTCGAAGATTATTTGTACTCATTTAACACTTGCACATGTTAACACGTGACCCCATCCATCTGACACTTGTATATGTTAATGTATGATCACATCCGTCTGACACTTGCATATGATAATGGGCGATCACATCCATCAAGCACATGTTAACGTGATCACATCCATCAAGCACATGTTAACATCTGATCACATCCATCAAGCACATGTTAACGTGTGATCACTTCCTTCAAGCACATGTTAACGTGATCACATTTATCTAGCACATTTTAACGTGTGAGCACATCCATCAAGCACATGTTAACATGTGATCACATTTATCTAGCACATGTTAACATGTGATTACATTCATCAAGCACATGTTAACGTGTGATCACATTCATCAAGTACATGTTAACGTGATCACATTCATCTAGCACATGTTAACTCGTGATCACAGAGCGCACCTATCATTTCCAAAAAAGGTCAATCTGCGTTTGCTGTCGGTGCGCAGCATGTTCTGTACTCAACATGTGCAACACTAAGCAAGGATGTTTTCAACAGAAAATAAATCATAAATACGTCTAAGACACAAGTGCCATGATATCAGATAACCTCGGAGATAACGGAACGTAGATACTCACTCGTATTTATAGCGCTCATATCGACGCGGTTTCAACAGAGTGTCGTGTGCAACCCAAATATGAGTTGTAATATGTTGTAGGCCAAGTACTATTCTCGATTCCTCTCGGTGAAGTATGTTTATGCCAACAGGATGTCGAGTATGCTATGGACGGTAGGAGGGGTTTGCCGGTACGAGATCTCGTGACACCCTCATTGCATTCACGGACTTGACAACTCACCAGACATGAAGCGGTTAGGCTACTGGTTTAGTGAGAAGAAGACGAAGAAGCTGAATTTGCCCGAGCACGAGCTAGATTTCAGGTAACCTCATATAAACATGGTAAACATTTCGATGTAGGTCACTTGGACAACTTCCGCTAGTCACACAGACTCTTACAATATCAGACAGCCCAGCTTAAACCAGTCACCGCCACTGATCTTACCCGCGCACACTTTGATCGGTTATTTTATTATCGAAGTTACTGGTGATACGCTCCCTAACGAATGCCCCTACTGTTACGGATGCCAAGCTTGGGCGTCAAGGATAGTGCGTTGCAGCGACTAGCACGTGAACACTGATATTTCACAGTCATAAAATCCAAGAAAAATTAAATATAAATTTGAGCATGTAAATGTGTTCAGTTGGCAATTAGGAATGCCAATTAAGAAAAAGATACATATTTTGAAGAAATTCAACGGTTATAGACAGTATTTGGTTTAGTGAAGGTTTTTTATTCTTCACTTGGGAAGTACATATGGTTTTGTTCTTTGGTATGGTTCAATATATCTTAAATTTATGGGTATTGCGGACTTAATGAATTTCTTGAGAGGTAATATTATACTGCATTCGTTCTACACTACTAAACTTGAGCAAGAGTGTTTGTGTTGTTTGGGGGTAGTTTTGTTGTGTTTGGGCGATCATCCATTAACCGCCCTGCAAGAGGGGAAGTAGATTATAAGGAATGATCAGATGTGATCAATATCAAGAGATTAGAACATTCAATCACCACAATGGTTCTTGAAAACAATGTATTAACATGTTGCAAATACACCTACAGTCATGTCTGCAGTTTGTCCCAACAAGTTGCCAGGGCACTTACATTGTGGCGGATCTAGTGCATATTTTCTGTATTAGAGGAACCAGTATTAATGGCTGTGTCAAACGGTATGGTTTTGAAATAAGAACCAGGTTGCAAATAACCCCTGTATCAGTTACACCTAATGATTTGAATATCAATATTTACTTAGCTAAGCCATCCTTTCTTGTCACAGATGAAAACCAAATAAGGACTGTGGCTTTAATACATACTGGGCGATATAATATAGCCCAGGTGTAAGAGTATCCTAAAGTTTATGACTATATGACTCTCTGCTCTTATAGAGATTGGCACTCCTGGTGGAGTCATCCCACAGTTGACATCTTTACCTTGTCAGCTTACTGATCGGCTTAACCCCGTTGGTTATCTCAACAAGGTGCCGACCTCGGATCAGAATGTCCCTGGATTAAATTCCATGACGGGAAGTCTGTAGTTTCTACACTAGTATATGTGAAAAATTCAGAACCCATTTTGTTTATCAAATCGCGATTCACTGTTACACCAGGGCATTGCCAGCAAACAATTATCAATTAATGTGAATAGTTATAACTGATGTGATGGTTTGGTCAAGGTGACTCGTATTTCACTGAATCAGGACTAATAAAGAGGAAGTCGTTTAATTTAACATTGTTGCATTAAATACAACATTATGAAACTTCTGAAATTTAGGAAATAAGAGCTTTGAACAGCTAAATCAAAACAATCCCAAATTGCCTGCCAAGGACACTGAATTAAAGATGGCTTTTCCCAAGCTCAAGGTTTTACATTTTCAACCCAAACTGAAGAGATGTGTTTTATCCAACTTATGAACATCTAAATGCAAGAAATACCAGAAAAAACAGAAAACACTGACATACCTTAAAGTGAAACGATACAGTGTGTCAAAGGAATTTTGATCAAAACGTGCGAGAGAAAAAAACAGCATAGACCAGCTGGAGTCATGACGTGTAAAATAGAACAACTTCTCATCACCTGTCCCGATAGCTCAGTGGGAAAGCAGTGTGTTACAGGATACGTGAGGTTGCCAGTTTGATTCGAGTAATAGAATTTTCATGTAAAAAAGATAGTGACTTTTAGAGTCAAGTTTATAAAATGTTAATTGTAAAACCCGGGTATTACAATTGAAATGTAAAACCTCAAAGTAGGTCTAGATGTGACCCATTTCAAAACATAGGTTTGGAAGATGAGCTGGTTGCTAGGTTTACCCGAGGTTGTCGGGAAGCTATTGCAATGTAGGGTAATGTGGTGATAGGTTCATGATTCTGGATACGTCCTTGTACCTGTAGAGCTGCTGCGACCAATAGATTCCCAATGAATGCATGTGCTGTATATGGAAGATCCTAGTTTCCGCATTACCTTTATGACTACTGCTGATGTGATTCCTGCTGATTCACCATCTGTTGCACAAACTGGACGGCTGTCACAACGAGAAAGGTTGATATTCAGGAATCACTTGTCTCCTCATCACGAGATGTCCATCAGGATGCAGGCATGATGGACTTGTTGAAATGTGTTAACACCTAGTTGGAAAGTATATCAGTAATATCGCAGTATATCAGTTATATCACAGTACAGTATATCAGTTATATCACAGGACTGTATGTCAGTTATGTCAAGACAGTATATCAGTTATATCAGGACAGTATATTACGGTGCCGCGATTCCCTGTGCAGAGTTGCGTCCCTTGGGCACGCCAGAAACCTATGATTGTGGGTTTGAATCCCGGTTCGCCACAATTATGTTTCTAGGTTTGTCAGCACCATACCCATGCTCGTGGGTTTCACCGAAGTGGTAAATGTCTGAGACCTGCATCACTTCGGGCTTTCCTCCCACATTAAGCTGACACGCCGTGATATGACTGGAATACTGTTAAAAGCGGCGTTAAACCCAACTCACTCACTCAGTTATATCGCAGTATATCAGTTTTATCTGAGGACAGTATATCAGATATATCACAGGTCAGTATATCAGTTATATCACTGGACAGTATATCAGTTATGATTGAAGACAGTATATCAGTTATATCACAGGTCAGTTTATCAGTTATATCACAGGACAGTATATCAGTTATATCACAGGTCAGTATATCAGTTATATCACAGGTCAGTATATCGGTTATATCACAGGACAGTATATCAGTTATATCACAGGTCAGTATATCAGTTTTATCACAGGACAGTATATCGGTTATATCACAGGACAGTATATCAGTTATATCACAGGTCAGTATATCAGTTATATCACAGGTCAGTATATCAGTTATATCACAGGACAGTATATCGGTTATATCACTGGACAGTATATCAGTTATATCACAGGACAGTATATCAGTTTTATCACAGGACAGTATATCAGTTATATCACAGGTCAGTATATCAGTTATATCACAGGTCAGTATATCAGTTTTATCACAGGACAGTATATCGGTTATATCACAGGACAGTATATCAGTTATATCACAGGTCAGTATATCAGTTATATCACAGGTCAGTATATCGGTTATATCACAGGACAGTATATCGGTTATATCACTGGACAGTATATCAGTTATATCACAGGACAGTATATCAGTTTTATCACAGGACAGTATATCAGTTATATCACAGGACAGTATATCAGTTATATCACAGGACAGTATATCACAGTATATCATTTAAATCAGGACAGTATATCAGTTATATCACAGGACAGTATATCAGTTATATCACAGTATATCATTTAAATCAGGGCAGTATATCAGTTATATTACAAGACAGTATAGCAGTTATATCAGAGGACAGTATATCAGTTATGATAGAGGACAGTATAGCAGTTATATCAGAGGACAGTATAGCAGTTATATCACAGCACAGAATATCAGTTATGATAGAGGACAATATGTCAGTTATATCCAGCATATCAGTTATATCAGGACAGTATATCACTGTTGTTACCATGGTTACCTTTTAAAGGGAAAGATATATTTTTTTATGTCTGAATTCTATTTGATTTTAAAATATCTAGCATTTATCACCATTCCCTTTGTGGATATATAGGGTGTAAATAAAAGAAATGTACATTTACCGTATTTGCACAACAAATGTCTTGACTGGTTCACATTGCAATGTTTGTGGTTACTAGCCATACAGGGGGAGATAACTCTTGTTGACAGAAGGGAGGTGTTGTTGATGGTGGAGTCAGCAGATGTTACATGCTGTTGTGGTGCATTTACCCGATTGTAACAAAACCAGAAACAGTCAGAAACATCTTGATCATATCATACAAATCACTGCATTATTGAATGTTGACCTCGATCCCCTCTCACACTATCCAGCCTGTTACCTACAACACTGTGTCACACTGTCCAGCCTGTTCCCTACATCACTGTATCACACTGTCCAGCCTGTTCCCTACATCACTGTATCACACTATCCAGCCTGTTCCCTACATCACTGTGTCACACTGTCCAGCCTGTTCCCTACAACACTGTCACACTGTCCAGCCTGTTCCCTACAACACTGTGTCACACTGTCCAGCCTGTTCCCTACAACACTGTCACACTGTCCAGCCTGTTCCCTACAACACTGTCACACTGTCCAGCCTGTTCCCTACAACACTGTCACACTGTCCAGCCTGTTCCCTACATCACTGTATCACACTGTCCAGCCTGTTCCCTACAACACTGTGTCACACTATCCAGCCTGTTCCCTACAACACTGTGTCACACTGTCCAGCCTGTTCCCTACAACACTGTCACACTGTCCAGCCTGTTCCCTACAACACTGTGTCACACTGTCCAGCCTGTTCCCTACAACACTGTCACACTGTCCAGCCTGTTCCCTACAACACTGTGTCACACTGTCCAGCCTGTTCCCTACAACACTGTGTCACACTGTCCAGCCTGTTCCCTACAACACTGTCACACTGTCCAGCCTGTTCCCTACAACACTGTGTCACACTGTCCAGCCTGTTCCCTACATCACTGTATCACACTGTCCAACCTGTTCCCTACAACACTGTGTCACACTATCCAGCCTGTTCCCTACAACACTGTGTCACACTGTCCAGCCTGTTCCCTACAACACTGTCACACTGTCCAGCCTGTTCCCTACAACACTGTGTCACACTGTCCAGCCTGTTCCCTACAACACTGTGTCACACTGTCCAGCCTGTTCCCTACATCACTGTGTCACACTGTCCAGCCTGTTCCCTACATCACTGTATCACACTGTCCAGCCTGTTCCCTACAACACTGTGTCACACTATCCAGCCTGTTCCCTACAACACTGTGTCACACTGTCCAGCCTGTTCCCTACAACACTGTCACACTGTCCAGCCTGTTCCCTACAACACTGTCACACTGTCCAGCCTGTTCCCTACAACACTGTGTCACACTGTCCAGCCTGTTCCCTACAACACTGTGTCACACTGTCCAGCCTGTTCCCTACAACACTGTGTCACACTATCCAGCCTATTCCCTACAACACTGTCACACTGTCCAGCCTGTTCCCTACAACACTGTCACACTGTCCAGCCTGTTCCCTACAACACTGTGTCACACTATCCAGCCTGTTCCCTACAACACTGTATCACACTGTCCAGCCTGTTCCCTACAACACTGTGTCACACTGTCCAGCCTGTTCCCTACATCACTGTGTTATACTGTCCAGCCTGTTCCCTACAACACTGTATCACACTGTCCAGCCTGTTCCCTACAACACTGTGTCGCACTGTCCAGCCTGTTCCCTACAACACTGTGTCACACTGTCCAGCCTGTTCCCTACAACACTGTGTCACACTGTCCAGCCTGTTCCCTACAACACTGTGTCACACTGTCCAGCCTGTTCCCTACATCACTCTGTCATACTGTCCAGCCTGTTCCCTACATCACTGTGTCACACTGTCCAGCCTGTTCCCTACAACACTGTGTCACACTGTCCAGCCTGTTCCCTACAACACTGTATCACACATACAAGAAAGGGGACCTACATGAATTGAAGTTCTCTCAAATTTTGTTATTATTCAGTTTGTGGCAATGCGTAAAAATCGAGGGTTAAATGGGTGAAAAAGAATAATATCAGTGAAACATGAATGGAATTAGATGTTGAAAATGCCTGTTGATTAAAAGGCTTATATTTTCTTTATGAGTGAGTGAGGTTTTATGCCGCTTTTAGCAATATTCCAGCAATATCATGATGGGGGACACCACAAATGGGCTTCACACATTGTAGCCATGTCGGGAATCGAACACGGATCTTCGGCGTGACGAGCGAACACTTTAACCAGCCCCCGACCGCCCTTTCCTTTCCTCTCTTAGAACCTGGGACCCTTTTTATTTCAGTCTACATTCAGACCCCGCCCACATTAGATCAGCTCTGATTGGAGACAGACTCTTATTCTATTGTATCTTTGACCAGGTGGGACGGCTTAGTTTACACTGTTCAAATGTCAATCTGTGCAAAAGCGTTTTGGGTCTTCTACTGTTCTAGCCCAAACTTCTCTCTTTGCATCATTTTCAGTAGGTTTGCATGTTATGTTGTGGACAGTTATTATCAAGCTCTGGCTTTGGACTTGTGTCTCAAGCTGCTGACTGATTTGTAATTGTTATCTGTAGCTGAACAGGCCCTTTTGAGATGTCAGTCTTGGTATACAAGTCTTTCTGCTAGACTCCGACCCAACCCTCAACAATGGCCGGCTGTAAATAATTGATTGAGGGCTCTGAATAGAGGAAAAAGGGTATTATTGAATACAACACACCTTTCATCTGTATAGCTTGTGTTTGTGGTTCTTGATTATTTTCAGACCTCCGCCAATATAGCTGGAATAGTGCTGAGTGTGGCATTAAACAACAAACAAACAAACAATCTTATCACTGTAGACGTGAACCTTCTAAGGCTAAAATTGCTACAAGCTTCCCACTACTACAAGATCCGGGTTAGAATTGGTCTTCAGCAACCTATGCTTGCAGTAAGAGGCGACTCGCTGACTTGGTTGATGAATGTCATTGTATCCCAATTGTGTAGATCGATGCACATGTCAATCACTGGATTGTCTGGTACAGACTTATTTACAGACTGCCTTCATATGGCTGGAATATGGCTGAGTGCTGTGTTCAACAACAAACAAACAAACTTTATTTGAAAAGATTAGGAATTAATACAATTGTCTCCAATTGAAATGTACAGAAGTGCAGAAAATGAATATCTCTTTGGCGGAGTTACCTTCCCCTTTTAAAAGTTTTCGCTCATTTGAGTGTCATTGTCTTATACTGTCAGCCTAACTCCAAGATTTTGTGTTGTGAAGTCAGCTTGTTTGTGCTTTTCCAAACAAGGTTAGATAAGCCTAGAAATGGTGAATGACACAGGATACTTGCTTCTTCCATCCTCCAGTTGATGGACTGTGAGATGCAGTAGTATTTATCAAGGAGGGCTCAGATAGCATTTCTCTCACAGTAACATCTGAGTGTGGCTATATTTAACTGTTAGAGATAGGACATCCTATAAACTCTGCTTGTCAAAGTCGGCCAGGCGAGGGTGATTTTTGTCACATGGTCAGTAAGCAAAGATTCAAAGAAAAGAAATAAGTTTGTTGTCAGAGTTTAATGGAGGTTAATATTTATTTGATAACAATGCAAAAATATTCTCAAAATAACATTTTTTCAATCAGACATAGCATCTTTTGATATTTTGAAAAAATATATTTTTTAAGTCCATAAACAATATTTCTTTGGATGATATATGGATCTGGTTTACTGTTTACATTATTTCCATGTCAATGTAAAATTGATCAAGATGTGTTTGTAATATTGATCAGGAAAGTATCAGAAGAAGAAGATGGTTGAATGTTGCTCAGTCATCAACAGATAGTGTTCCCCTGAAACCATATCCCATGTCTACATGCTTGTACATCTCATTTCAAGAAGTATTGTATGCACCCTTTAGTAATTTCAAACAGATACATTTGTAGCAGCTTATTGTATGGACAGATTACAATAGTGTTTACCAATGTGACTGAGTTTGCTAATGTTTGCGATGACTAACAAGTACTTTCTGTTTTCAGGGCAGCTGGCATCGAACTTGTGCAGGTAAGTCCCAAGATAGGGTCAGTCATGTGACCAGTCATGTGACCAGTCATACAATCTGCATGATGTCATTAGTAGAGAACCAAACCAACATTGACACAGTTATTAAGAACCAGGATTGAGGAAACTGTTCCTGGACAGCAAATTATCACTTGTTTCGAGACAAAGTCTACATTATTGACAATAAAAGGTGTTTTATCACAAAATAAGGCAGTTTAGTTGTTGTCTATTCATAGCAACTCGAACTCTGGAAGTCAGTGTCTCTGAAATGTCTGTTTTGTTTCTATGCAAGACTGCTGTGTTTCACAGCCTGTGATTTTTATGTTGACGTTGATGAGTCGTTTTTTTTGTTTTTGTGTGGCTTTTCCGACGATGAATAAGGAATTCATTCTTTGCTTAGATTGTTTGAGAGGGCAGTGCAACCTGCCATGACTTCTGACAATATGTGGTGTATTTGGCTACATGGTACACCTAAGGACTGACTGGAGAGTGTGTCCTAAAGCATGATCGAATTCAGAACCAAGACATAAACAATACACAGTCGTCAGTTGGATTGGTCACAGTTGACTTGCGATGTTTGTATGAACCTATAACAATTAGTACTCGTATGCATATTTTATTAAAATTGACTGAAGGACTACTCAGGTGTAAGTTTCTGGAGTATCTTCACAGACAACTGAAGCTGGTGTGGAATGTCTTCAGTGATTTTCTCACTACAGATAACACTGTTGGCTAATCAACTAGGATGAAATATTTCTAGTTCATATTTGTGGTTGTAACATGAACATTTCTGTCAAAACTGAATATAAGTTTTATATGTGCTTCTTCAGAATGCCTGAAGCAATTCGTATTATTCATGGCTTAATTTCCTCATAACAGGATGATTCATATCAAGCCTGACCTTGACCTTGACCTCTGATGTGACATGCATACATATGTTGACTCTGATAACATGGCCAGCAGGTGATGTGAGGGTTGTCATGGCTCTGGAGATCACGGTCTGTGATCACATGTGGATAGGGAGATCACGGTCTGTGATCACATGTGGATAGGGAGATCACGGTCTGTGATCACATGTGGATAGGGAGATCACGGTCTGTGTTCACATGTGGATATGGAGATTATGGTCTGGTCACATGTGGATATGGAGATCATGGTCTGTGTTCACATGTGGATCTTGAGATCATGGTCTGTGTTCACATGTGGATATGGAGATCAGGGTCTGTGTTCACATGTGGATATGGAGATTATGGTCTGGTCACATGTGGATATGGAGATCATGGTCTGTGTTCACATGTGGATATGGAGATCATGGTCTGTGTTCACATGTGGATATGGAGATCAGGGTCTGTGTTCACATGTGGATATGGAGATCATGGTCTGTGTTCACATGTGGATATCGAGATCATGGTCTGTGTTCACATGTGGATATCGAGATCATGGTCTGTGTTCACATGTGGATATGGAGATCATGGTCTGTGTTCACATGTGGATATGGAGATCAGGGTCTGTGTTCACGGATATCGAGATCAGGGTCTGTGTTCACATGTGGATATGGAGATCATGGTCTGTGTTCACATGTGGATATCGAGATCAGGGTCTGTGTTCACATGTGGATATGGAGATCAGGGTCTGTGTTCACATGTGGATATGGAGATCAGGGTCTGTATTCACATGTGGATATGGAGATCATGGTCTGTGTTCACATGTGGATATGGAGATCATGGTCTGTGTTCACATGTGGATATGGAGATCAGGGTCTGTGTTCACATGTGGATATGGAGATCATGGTCTGTGTTCACATGTGGATCTTGAGATCATGGTCTCTGTACGGCCTACAATCTGGTTCAGGTGATCTGGTCTCTGTACGGCCTACAATCTGTTCAGGTGATCTGGTCTCTGTACGGCCTACAATCTGGTTCAGGTGATCTGGTCTCTGTACGGCCTACAATCTGGTTCAGGTGATCTGGTCTCTGTACGGCCTACAATCTGGTTCAGGTGATCTGGTCTCTGTACGGCCTACAATCTGGTTCAGGTGATCTGGTCTCTGTACGGCCTACAATCTGGTTCAGGTGATCTGGTCTCTGTACGGCCTACAATCTGGTTCAGGTGATCTGGTCTCTGTACGGCCTACAATCTGGTTCAGGTGATCTGGTCTCTGTACGGCCTACAATCTGGTTCAGGTGATCTGGTCTCTGTACGGCCTACAATCTGGTTCAGGTGATCTGGTCTCTGTACTCCACTCCACTCCACTCCACTCCACTCCACTCCACTCCACTCCACTCCACTCCACTCCAATACTCAGAGAGTATAAAGGCAAGGGACTTAGACAGCCTATGAGTTCACTGACCCAACACTGCCTGACTGTCATATTCACACATCAAAGAAGTCCCTTCCCCTTCAGGTTTATTGTGTCAGGTTGATCTGTTTTGTCTGGTGTGTATCAATAAACAACATAAGCTCTTATATTTCGAATTGCATGCTGAGAACCCATTACCTGAGAATATGAACTACAGCATTGTATGCAGTGTGCGTGCATGTACAGCACACAGACAACACAAGCTGGCCACAGCTTCAGGTGTGTATGTGTACATGTTTCAGTGGGAAATGAATGGTTCTGTACAGGTATTCTGTTGTCTGATTCACATGAAACGGTCTCACCCAGCAGTGAATGGCTGTGTAGAGAGACCGTGCTATTAGTTGGTAGTACTTGAATGGTAATCAGTGATTGTTGTATTTGAGTATTGGATATGAATGATTTACTGAGATCTACACAAGGTACAGGTGTAGGCTCAGTGAAGTATATGTTCAAGCGATTGGGCATCTCCAAAGTGAGGGGAATATATTGAGATCTTACTGAAGGAACACGTCAAACTGAAATGTTTTCGCTCTGCTGCTGTTATCTTTAACAGATTAGTTCATTACTGGCCCTTACTTGGGTTTCCATCTGGACTTGACGCTCTCCATTGTTTGCAGTAGTGGGCGATAAGGTGAAAATATCCAAGTAGGGTATGTTGCCTTTGTGCTGCAGGGGTAGGGGATACATTACACCCTGTATACAGGTACACATCCACCCTGTATATAGGTACACATCCACCCTGTATACAGGTACACATCCACCCTGTATACAGGTACACATCCACCCTCTATACAGGTACACATCCACCCTCTATACCTGGTACACATCCACCCTGTATACAGGTACACATCCACCCTCTATACAGGTACACATCCACCCTGTATACAGGTACACATCAACCCTCTATACCTGGTACACATCCACCCTCAAAGCTAGTCTGTTGGTCGATACTAGTTTTGGTTCAAGTACATATTAGACCTGAATACAAAGACTGGGTGTTGCTGTTGTTACTTGACCTATATATTTATCGCTACATGTATGCCTCACAAGTTAACCATGTGTGCCCTCCCATGCCCAGCCCAGCATTCACCTGCTCAGCCTTTAGGGTCGACCTTTGCACCAGCTTACCACCCCAATATAATAGGATTAAATGAATGGGGTCAATACATTACTCATAATGTCGGTGTAGAGCTCAACAACATTATCTATGTACCAGGTGATTATAGACTGTTATTCCCTGCTACCAGATACTGCTGGAGTGCCAAGGTCATGTGATAGCAGGTCTTGCCCTCTTTCTTAAAAGAATATGGGAAGCTGTATGGAGGACAACTTCTCACTCACTCACGCACTCACTCACTCTTAACGTCTTAACCCCTAACGCAATGAGGTGGAATAGTCTATCTGAGTTAGCCAATTTTGAGTATTTGCAACTTGCAGCACCACTATTACAGATGTGATTATAAACATATCTCTTATAGAACACAAGGTCTTAAACTTGGCATCTTAAAAGTGTAATAAAGTTTGCTAACTTGGCTTTGTATATTTGTTTAAGCTTGGTGAGGAAATGTATGAGTAAGTCCTGATACGGTCCCCCGGTTTAATAGTCAGTGTTGATTTATACAGGTCACAATGGTGGACAGTGTAAGAGCTGTTCAAGAGTAGAGGGCAAATATAGTCTCTCATAAATTATCAACTCTATTTGACATGGGCACTTTCAGTTTGGATAATAAATACTGGTATGTCCAAAATCAAACGTCTTTATAATTTTTTTACATAGAACATACCTTTGACATGATTTAAGTCAGTATTTAAGATCCTCTTGTATGGGGAGCTTTCTATAGGGGAGATCCTCTTGTATGGGGAGCTTTGTATAGGGGAGATCCTCCTGTATGAGAGCTTTGTTTTGGGGAGATCCTCTTGTATGGGAGCTTTTTATAGGTGAGATCCTCTTGTATGAGGATTTGTACAGGGGAGATCCTCTTGTATGGGGAGCTTTGTACGGGGGAGATCCTCTTGTATGGGGAGCTCCACTTGTATGGGGAGCCTTGTACAGGGAGATCCTCTTGTATGTGAGCTTTGTACAGGGGAGATCCTCTTGTATGGGGAGCTTTGTACAGGGAGCTCCACTTGTATGGGGAGCCTTGTACAGGGAGATCCTCTTGTATGGGAGCTTTGTACAGGGGAGATCCTCTTGTATGGGGAGCTTTGTACAGGGAGCTCCACTTGTATGGGGAGCTTTGTACAGGGAGATCCTCTTGTATGGGGAGCTTTGTAAGGGGGAGACCCGCTTGTATGAGAGCTTTGTATAGGGGAGATCCTCTTTTATTGGGAGCTTTGTACTGGGGAGATCCTCTTGTATGGGGAGCTTTGTACAGGGGGATCCACTTGTATGGGGAGCTTTGTACAGGGGGATCCTCTTGTATGAGGAGATCCTCTTGTATGGGGATTTGTACATGGGGTACTTCTTGTATGGGGAGCTTTGTACAGCGGAATCCACTTTTATGGGGAGCTTTGTTAGGGGAGATCCTCTTGTATGGGGAGCTTTGTACAGGGGGATCCTCTTGTATGAGGAGATCCTCTTGTATGGGGATTTGTACATGGGGTACTTCTTGTATGGGAGCTTTGTACAGCGGAATCCACTTTT